GTTTTCTTAAAGATTAGCGTTGGCAGATTTTAGTTTGTTTCTAAATGTGTTAAACTGTATTCAGTTAGCAAGAAAAACATTTCAAATCGAATATGAGTGATTAAACTGAAAACCGATTGTATCCAAACCAGTCTTAGTTGAATTGAAACTGAACGAGCTATTTGAAATTTTCAATTTTGATCTTGCGAGACCGCCGGCGTAATTCGTTTCGTGTCTGCGTGTATCCGAAATGCAGAATTTCGTATTTAAGTAGGAATGTACCACTGGCCATCGGGAAAGGTTAGCTTAGGCGAGGTATCCTAGAACGAGGAATTATTTCGAATTCAGATGTAATCCAGTGCATCTCTAGGCTTTCGCTTCTAAACCTCTTACGGCTAAATGTGCGTACGGTGACTATCATTTAATGTAATGTAAATGTATTCAATGAAATTATTGTTTACTGTGAACTCATAAATGTCATCATATGTTTTGTACTGGTGTTTTGCAAAGGAAACGAAAAAAATTCACACCATTGTAGCATGCCTATGTCTTCGTAGACAATTCAAATTTATTACCTGTTTAGTAATTCACAATATCTTGAATCAAAACTCATCGGTGCAAATGCACGTTATTTCAAATCTGATTTTTAGAACATTACGATTTACGCTTATACAATTGGAATTAGACGGTCCTGTTAAAAAAATAATCCATGGTCACTTTCAATGTTTTCCCATTTCGTAAAATCCATATTCGTACTATAACAATCAATTTGGGCTTACAATAGTAACACCACACACACATCCTTTTGCATTAAGATGCAATACGTACAATAGCGCAAAGTAATTTAATTAAAATTAAATATCTATCTATAATGAGTTCAACAAAAAAATAACAAAATAAATTGCATTTCTGAGACAATAAAGTCCTGTTCATTGATAAGCTTGAGATGTTTGCGTTATTTGATACGGACTTTCAATCTATAATTCGTAATTAAAATCGGCGTAATGACATCTGTTATGGAACTAGGTAATTACTCCTCCTACGTCGTCGCTATCGACCAATAGATGGCGCTGACCGCGTCGCAAACAAACCGCCTTCGCGCCGCCATCACTTACCCATAAACATGCTAATTTACGTATGACTATTTTATAACATAATTAATAACTCGCGTCGCGCGCAGCCACTATTAGTTCAGATTAGGATTTGGAACAGTTTATGCGCTACAATTTAATTTGATGGTGTTCGCGTGACCCGGTCTTGGCTCCTTGTCGTCACATACTTTTATGGGTGATGTAAAATAATGAAAAAATACCGGATGGCCATTTTATGCGAGTCGTTTGATTTAGAGTCGGAGGCTTTTATGAGGGTTATGTACACTCTATCAGTCTGGATGTGTACGCCCGCGACGCGCTTCCTGGAATTATTTTATAGAAAGCTCATAATCAAATGGTATAGATAACATTTTATACTACAGTTATTAAAGTCAATATTTTATAGTCCTAATTAGAGATTTGACACTTATTTTTTCATGTAATGTTTATATCCAACTTTTGACTATTTATAGCTTGACAACGTGAAATATTGTCTATTGAAAACACAACTAGGATATCAAATAAAACCAAAATAATTCCTACTGAACGATCCGACGCAAACTTTCTTTAAGAATGTTAAACTAGCAAAACATTAAATCTAAATTGCAGTTGTACCTAATTCATTTTCTAGTTTATTTACAAGAGTGGTGATTTTTTTTTAATTTACATATCTTGCAAAAATCAAACTCAAAGTTATGACGATGAGTTTATAAATTCATATTTACGAGTGTTGTTTAAAGAAGGTTATATTTTGTAAGTTTTGATTAAATTAAATGTCTGAGAGTAGAACTCGAGCACGCGACAGAAGTTTAAACCTTACAGAGTCATGTGAAAAGCTTACAGTGTCATTCCTTTCTACAAAGCGACCTATGGTTACCTGGCGGTTTGGTTTTCTTATCGACAATATTAACTTGGAACAAAACTTCCAGCCAAAGTCGTAGATTTTTATGAAATTTCAATTTTTATTATGACATAAAACAAAATACACACTGCTCGTAGATTTGAGAGACAAGCAAGTATCTGAAACATAAAATTAAGTGCACCACTTCTTAAATCCAAAACATTATAAGACAGAGTTTTAGAACTATTTGAGGCACTCGGTTTTGATGGTTGTTCTCAGAAGACAGTTGTCAATGTTTATACAGGGTGCATATAAAATATACAAAAGTGGCCCCTCGGCGGACCAAGTGCAAACATTGCGGCTGCACTGGCCAGGGGTAGGGGAGCGCCGGGGGAAGAGAAGTCGAGGGTGACACGCACGAGCCACTATTCAAAGTTGAACAGTTAAACTGTTACATAAAAATACTTAAAAATGTGAATTTGAAAAACCGTGCTTAGTATTTTTTTTTATAAAATAATACACTTTAAGTCGATATTAATTTATAACATCACAGTTTATAACCAGCCAGTTATGTTTTCGAATAAAATTTTCTAACAATTTAAAAAGTTTTTAAAATAATCAATTAATTTTTTCTTAAAAAATAATATATTTTTATAAATTATTTGATAATATGGAAAAATACTCAAATAATTTTTGCAAAAATATTTTACATTAATAAAAGAAATAAAATATAAATTTAAATTTTAATTAATATGATTTTTTTATTAACATTTTACCATATGCTAGAAAAATCTAATTACATATTCCAATGGGTAATTTATCTTCGAATATTTAAATTATTATTTTAATTTAAAACGCATTATAAAACCTACAAGATATAAAATCCTGATGTATATCGTTTACATTTACTTGCATAGTGTAAAAGATTTCTCATAAAAATATTGTTTTAAGGAACGCTTCATTTTGCTTCCATAAATATTTGTAGGTACATCATATTAATATTATAAAGAGGAATCTTTGCAAAGATAAACGGATGTTCTCTTCGACGTACAAACTCTTGAACGGATTATTAAAAGTTAACATATATTTTTATATGTTTTAACTTACTCTTTGATATAAAGTTAATTTTATAGGTACTATTAGTTGAACCCAGCAAATGTAATGCACAAGATAAAATAATACCAAGTGTAAAATTTTAACATAAAATTTTATTATAAAATTCTAAAATAGTTTCGTCCCAATTCAGTTTTTTTTTTATAAATTTGAAGTACACTTACGTTCAGTTAAGCCGTTCTGACCATCAATTGAAAAATTATTCGATTCGAACGCGACAATTTCGTCGAAGTAACAAGGTCGGTTTCGATAATGCATGCTTCGACCCCGATGATGTAGTGTACACGTCCCGCGTTATGTTGCTTAGGCTACTGCCGATGACAACTCAATCAAACTTGTGTCTGCACTGGGTGAAGCCTTGGATTGGGGTTGACAAAATCTTGTCGATTTTAGTTCCAAAAATATTCAAGTCTCATTACTGTTAGCAAATATCCCTTGGTCTTAGATCTTTACTTCTAGAACATTCTCAAAGTTGGCCATTAAAAGCACAAGGCTATGTTGGCCTTAATGCAGGATGTACTCTGTAGTGCGAAACAGTATTTACAGTCGGGCCACCGCCTACCAGCAGTTCAAGGGGCAAGTTCAGTCTCACATTAAAAAAATCCTTTTATCTCTGGGCGGGCTCCCAATATCAGCTTCTTCCATTTGCCCACATATGGTAAGCGATTCATATAGTCAACGAACGAGATCTTACCGATTTTCTTGATTCTTTGGCCTTGGGGAGGGAATCATTTCCCTCTCCATTTTTCGCGAATACCATTTTGATCCGAAAATCGTCTGGAACTGCCACCCGCAGCCGCTTTGTAAAAGGCGACGATTTTGAGTCTTTGGTGTTGCAGATGTCCATAGGCGCATAAGATCACCTTAATATTCTGGAAATTCTTTTTTTTTACAAAAAAAAACATCGATACATCCAAATTTTCATATAAGTAAGATATGAGATCTTAGAGATGAGATAAGTTTGATATTAATCTTGCTTTAAGACTTGGGCTTAAGGAAAATCAAAGAGAGGCAACCCAAAGAATACGAGTGGGAAAAGTTTACCGAGTTTTCAGACGCGCCGCTGTAATTAGCGACTTTGGTTTGGTGTAACTTACCATGTAAGTTTTAGAGTTTGATGGCGAAATTTGAAATTGTTTCTTTCGTTGAGAAGATTAATGATTTATGTAGATTATTTTATTGTTTTGATGTTACGTTTTCTATTGGGATTTACTTTTTTATAAGAAGGTGAATAAATAAAGATACGATAATTAACGTGCGATTATAGAATTAAATAAAAATGTATAGATTTCTACTACGAGTAGGTAGTTCCATGTTTTACTATACAGTATTACTTTACGTAATGTAAATTAAGTGGAACCTGGAAAAGTAAAACCCATTTATTGATATGTATAAAAATTGTTTTGAAACAGTTAAAAAATCTGAAGTATGAGGATGAGGGCAGTTCGAAAAAACGTATGTAGAGGTGACCAAAACTCGCTGAAACCATCCATTCGTAATTAGTGAATGGTACCTCACCTAACTAATTTTTATCGGTTTAATAGGTAATAGATAGCTACTAGGTATAAATGATAATCTACCTTCTATTATATTAATCTTCTTCAATTATCATATGATAGTTGTTAGGTTGTCATATCTTGCTATATCATTAAGTGATCTATTCTATGATATGGCAGCGACGTGATCATGAGGTATGCCAGTAGTGTGCCAGCAGTACGGGAGCAGTGCAAGTAGAGTATAGTGCACGAGGTGCGTAGCGGCGTGCGCGCGCGCTGCGGGCGTGCGGGGATGGTGCGCGCGGCGGGGGCGGCG